CAAATTTCTATACCTATAGCTGATCAGTACAGATGGGCCCCTTAAGAAAATTGCATCAAGTAGTTTTAAGTGCTAAAAACTCCACTGATCTGCTCTTGTAAAAACAAAAGAGAATAGCTTACCCTCTCATAGTCCTCAAAAAAATCCTTGCATTCAACAACTTTCAGGGACCCAGTCCTCATTTTAAAATTTTACTTACCTTTAAGAAAATCCTTACTATTAGATATTATCAGGTATGTATTTCTTATAAACCCTTTTCGATTTCCGAATTTCTTTCTTTTTTTTAATAAAAACCATAACTGTGGGAAATGGCAGCAGCATTTCAAGAGGAACTTAAGCTTTTACATGTAAGGGATACATCAGCTAACAATGACTTTCAGGAAGTAAAAGCAGTAGTATTAGGGCTAAAAGTAGTAGATTTAATTATAATGAGTATGTTCTATTGAACAACAGATTTCAACCCTTGGTTTGTGCAGATGAGGGAAGGAAAACAAAAGGGGTGGAGAAGGATCTGAGTGATAAACTTAGGAGATTATATTTATAGATGATTCTTTGATAAATAGAGAGAAAAGAATTAGATTATGCTAACCAGGGTCACGGGTGGAAGATGTAACTGACAGATCAAGAGATATGATAAAGAGGAGAGCAATGATGCAGTTTTTGTCCTGCACATAGGGACTAATAATGTAGGGACAGGTAGGTCAGAAGAGCTAATTGATAAGCACAAGGGTTGATAAAAGCATTTAAAAAAATGCCCTGAAGAAGAAGGTTGTTATAAATAGAGTTCAGTCAAACTGGATTAATGTCAGAGCTCAGTCTTAGGACCTTTGCACTTTTTGATTTACATTAATGACATAGATGAAAGAATGATCAATAAATTACTTAAATTTGTTGATGATATTGAGGTTTTTGGCATTGCTGGCTGTGAGGATGCTGCTGCTTTACAAAATAATTTAGATCATTTAGCAAGTTGGGTGAATAAATAACAGCTGGGTTTTAATTATAATAAATGCAAGATGATATAGTGGGTTATCATAATTTGAATCATAAGTCTAATTTGGGTGAGAATAACCTTAACAGTGTTATGAGAGAAAGGGATCTTGGTGTAGTGGTTGATCAGTCTCTTAAGCTATCCAAGTAATGTGCTGTTGCTAGTGGTAGGGTAAATAGGATTTTAGGTTGTATCTACAGAAATATTGAATACAAGTCTAAAGAGGCTATAATTTCATTGTAAAGATCACTGGTTAGGAGTATTATGTTCAGTCTTAGGCTCCTTCCCTTTGGAAGAGCATTGAATTGTGGAAATGGGTTCAGAGGAGGACTACTAGAATGGTGCATGGGATGGAGGAGTTGTCATATGAGGAGAGGTTAAGATCTCTGAAATTGTTTTCTCTTGCAAAAGAAGAGTTACAGTGAATCTGATTGAGATGTTTAAGGTTGTTAAAGGAATTGATAGTGTTGATGCATCATCTTTTTTCATACTTAACAATGAGAATGATAGGACTAGGGGCAGAAATATAAATTTGGAAAGGGTAGGAGTCATCTTCAGCTAAGACAGTTTTATTTTTCTAACGGGTGGTTGGCCTGTGGAACAGGTTGCCATTGGATGTTGTGGAGGCAGTAAATTTAAGTGAGTTTAAGAGAAAGCTTGATAACTATATGAATAATAAGGGCTGGCTTTGAGGTTTTTATTTAATAGTTTTAATTTAGTTTAGAGGATGGGACAGCCTAGATGGACCAATAGGTCCCTTGTCCCTAAACATTATGTTATGTTAATGTTCCTATACTTCTGTAAGTTTTTCATTGTATCTGTTGATTTGAACTTCTTAAAACTTGTGTCCATATTAAGCCAATTAGGTGATGTTTTTTAAAAATACATTGTTACTTTCTAAACCAGTGCAAAACTGAAAGACTATAAAGAGTTTCTGAAGTATTGTATAGTTCAAGTAAAAATAATTAATTTTCTAGTATACTGTCTCCTGGTGGGTCAGCAGTTAGTTTATAGACTTACAAAACTAAAATATGACCTTCAATTCCCTGCAGTGGATGGAACGCAGTTAGTAGAATATGTATCTCTGTGCTAAAACAACAACAACACTTATCCAATGTATGTGAATAGTTAAGATAAATCTGACTTGGGTATCAGGAAGAAAAAACATTGTTTATGCCCAAGAAGTACTTTTTTTGGCACTTTTTGTTTTTTAAGTGATAGTTTGTATTTCTATATGATTTGGTTTGATTCATATATTTCGTTTCTGATATTCCCATCATTATTTTAAAATTACACACGAAGTTTATTTTGTAGAATAAATTCTGTTTATCCCTGTACATTCAAGCCTGGCTCTTCAGCACATGTCATGATCTTCTGCAGTATTCATTCACTATTATCAATGTATGTCAATAAACTTGGCATGAAAACGTAGCTTATGTTCCTAATATCTATACCATATGGCTTTCAACTTCTTAATTTTAAAAGGAAATGTTTAAAAATTCTTAATTTTCATTTTTCTGTGTCAAGTGATACATCTGAGCTCTGACTTCTTACTTTCAGAAATTTATAACTTCAATAATAGGTTTCTACAGTTTCCAAGCAATTAGAAACACAAACTATACATAATTATAAACAAAAGTTTAAAATACCTCTTGATTTGTTGAGATATCAATAAATTTGTCAAGCCTACCAGAGAAGTCTCTCCTCTCTCTGACTTTTGAGATTGCTTGCTAGTCAACCTTAAATGTTTGATGAACATGTTTATAACCAATAGAAAGAGATTCTCCTCTACATAAATCTTTAAAGTCTATGTTCAGTTTTAGCACCATAAGCCATTAGTCTACAAGAATTACTTGATTTCTGTTGATCAGAATTGCTACTCTGAACAGTAATGAAATTTTGTAACCTGTTTTTAGCTTACATACAAAGCCAAAAAAATTGTAGTTGTTTTGAGAAATTTTATTTGAGTAACACTAGTGACTACTTTTTGTGTTCTAAAATACGTATTTGATAGTTACATTAACTATTTTTGGAGCTCCAAATTTGTGAGAAACAACAAGGGTTACTGAACAAGGTTACTTGAGTGCAGTAATTTCTACAAATTTTTTATTTATTGTTATATTTTCTTAACAAAAGTTCATAAACAGAGCTTTAGTAAAAATACTTTATTAAAAAATCCTATTTTTTGTGTACAACAGACTTATAATGTGCACTAACATTTTACCAAATTTTATAAGATACATTTCGTACATTGAGAGTAATAATATATATAGGTTTGTGGTTGACCAAATTGGCAGAGCCCATATACAGATAGTTATTTGACTCTCTACAATCTCTATGCTTGCTAGATTTCTTTGTGACATGTCTAAAATGCTAGTAACTATAGATTATCTCTGTGTTGCTTTTCTAGTTAGTGCAATGTTTTGTTTACTTAATATACAATGTATATATTTTGAAAATTGTGTAGCTGATCAAGAGTCAATTTGTTGTCCAGAAATTACTGTCTTCATTTAGTTTGACTGTAGATGTCAACTTTTTTATTACGTATGTTTTGATTTAGCAATAGTCAAAACCATACGCTCTATTTTCTGGATGCTATATTTCAATGGAACATCTATTATCAGATAGTTTTGTATTTTACTATTTGATATAATTTCAAACGAATGGTTAATTTTGATGTACTAATGCATACAGTTCTTAGTTATTGAGAACTAATAACTAAAGCACTAGTATATTTTTTATTGTGTAAAATAGTGTGCAGATGAATCAGTACAACTCTATTCAGCGAGCTAGCAGCCAGTTGAGGAATCTAGCAGTGAAACGAGAAAGCCTTCCACGAACAGGTTCAACCCCTGCATCAACTCTACCAAGATCTCGTACTGGAAGTCCTTCATCAACTCTCCCAAAGACAAGCACTCCACGGTTAGTTAGATTTAATCAGAATAACAGGATCTTTCTGAACTGTCCCTGGTTTCTTTTGAAATCTAAAACTTCTATATATTTTATTGATTTGATTATAAATATAGAAATGATCTACAGGGTACTGAAAACCACTAACTGTTGATGAGAGAGGCTTATTGTGGGACTGGTTTACATTTGTATGTATGATGGAGTTTCTGAGAATAATATTACAGAAATTATAAAGTGCATCACTAAAGATTATCATCCAAGTTAGTTGTTTCTGTGTTTTTTAAGGTTACCAATGAGTCATTTTTCATTTTTTAAGTAAGATTGAAAATCTGATGAATTAAAATAAAAAATTATAAAAGTGATGCTAATTAATTTTTATGCAGTGAAGTAAGATATAAGATTTTATTGCATTTAGCATTACACTAATTAATTTTCTATGGGTAGTTTGCAGTCAAAAGACTCATTAGGATTTCAACATAATTATTAAACAAAGGAATTGAAGTCATTTTAATCAAAATATTATTCATTTATATATTTACATGTTGTTTTTCAGGACAGGAAGCTGCACTGGAACCCTTAGAGGTGCTCCACCTCCACCTCCTTATACTCCCCCTAGGTAGTAAGATTGTTTCTTCTATTTATATGAAAACTAAATTAGCTTGTGGTCTAAATATTGTCAGGATTCTAAGAAGTTTTTATCTTATTATTTTTACAAGAATGAAGTAAGGAAGAAGCAAGTATTATTTTTTTCTTTCCAAGGTATAATAATTTGCTTTTAGTGGTAACATCAGAGTTATTGTCTGTTGCAAAATTATCTTTAATCAAATATTTAGAATAGCTTCAAAACATGAGTGCTGGAATGTGTCCTGATTTTCATTGTTTTATATGTTTGGTAGTTTCTTAACATCATAAAAACTGCTTTTTGCAACACATTAAACTCAAAGACTTGAGGCATATTGGTTTATAACAGAACAGAGTAGATGGGGTAGGAGTTTTGACAGCTCTATTTAGTACTACATACTATCATAAAATGGGGTTAATAATAACAGTACTATATATATATTATGATGCAGTGCATGTTTTTGAAGGTAATATGGCTGACAGCAGTATTATACATGGGACTGAAGACAGAGTAGAGTGGTTGAATGAATGCCAAGATGACTGTCTGTAGAATAATGTACAATATTACAGAACATGTGGAACAGAAGCTTAGCAGTATTACAGAGGAGGAGATTGAAGGCAAAAATACATCAAACTACGGGTAGGGAAGTTACTGATGACAGTTCTAACAACAGTGAGATAGAAGGCAATTTTACTGCTAGCACTATTTTGTAACAAAAAGTGAGTGGGTGTGAAAGAAGACACTGTAGTCTCTGACTTGATCATCTAGCCCTCTGTGTTGTAAAAGGTGACATTCAGGTTGAAAGCACCATACTGAATACTACAAAGCAATATAACCAATATTATTACTGTACAACGTGACAGGATGGATGAGATAGAAAATGTAGTAACTGATAATAATAGTACAGAACATTACATAATAGAGGGAATAAAAAAAAGGTGATTGTATAACATTACAATAATAATAGTTCTATGCAACATCAAAGAATAGAAAGTTGGAAAGTAATGAATGTCTTTTGTTGTTAAATTGCATGTAAATAATGTTCCTAAGAAAACTAAGTAATTTATATTTTATCTTGAAAAGCTGTTATAGTTGGTGGAGATTTTCAAGTTACATAATAGCCAAAAAAACAAACTACTAAATAGCATTTTCTTTTCTTGGACCAAGTAATTAAGAATAATTTTGTATGAAATTAAAAATCTTAAATGAAAAATAACAACTGAGTTTGTTTTAAAAAAAATTTTAAAATATAGTAAAATACTAACTGTTGGTTTGTTATATAATTCTGTGTTTCAGTGAAGATTCAAAAAGAAGCACCCTGATTAAAGATGCTGAATAAAGAACACTCGGCAGACTGATTTTAAATAAATGTCAACAAATCTGAAATAATCTTGCATATGAACACAAGCTACTGTGAAATATTACTGCTAGGCTAAGCCCTAAAATAACAAAGTACTAAATATTTCCAAGTTAGAATTCCTGATACACTTTACAACAGGTAAATAACATAATGAAGTACCGCCAAGGATTTTTTTATTAATAGATGTCATGCTAGACATAGTTTATCTCAGATTGACAACTGTTATCAGCTAGTTGTATTTTGTTAAGTCTGGTATTATTTAGAGAATTACATCTGATAGAATAACAATTTTTAAAAAGAAATATTGTACTACAGATCACTTTTAACAGATAGCTTGTCTTATGAGTATCCTTAGATAATCTTAAGCTTGAATGTTTCAAATGTTGGTGTATATGTTGTCTGTCTCGTGGGAAATTGTTGATGACTAAACCAGCTTGTATCTGGCAAGTGTTATTACAAGTAGTTTCTGTTGTACTTGATGTTTTTGCTGTTAATAGGAAATACATAGTTCTTCAGCAGGAGTAAAGTTATGTCTTAGTTTTAGTGAATTAGCACTAACAGAGAGAGAAAAAAAAGATACAAGTCTCAAACAGTGAAACTAAAAAATTATTAAATGTAATTTTTGGTTAGTTAATGTTTATGTTTCTTTTTCTGTGTTTGCAAGTTCTTAGAATTTTAAAACTGAAAATTTAAAGTGATATGTGAGCATCTTGTATGAAGTAGCTATTTAAATAATAAGTTTAAGGTCAAAATCACTATTATGCCAGTGTTTTGTACATAGATTATTTATTATTTATATAATTATAATTTTTTATTAGACCAGTTTCCTGAAACATTCGAGTTTTTGACATGCAAACAAGTCCTAAAATATTTGAAGGAAAGTAGTTGTAAAAGTTTTTTGTGCCAAAGATTAGTGACTAAATGAAAAGAAAGTTAATTTCTCATCTCAGTATAAAGATTTGTTGTTCTTTGACATGTACATAGCTTAAAGTATGCTTTTCGATATATAGACCTAGCACATAACTTATCACTGATATTTGTTAAAATTCTCACTATATCCAAGGGATAATTTGTGTTGAATTGCACCAGATCCCAAGTACAGTATTTTTCTGTGTAATAGGCAAGAATTATCCAGTTTGCAGATGAATCATATGAACAAAACAAATAATGGCTAGGTGAACATTGTCATGTAGCTACTAATACTAACAGCAAAGCACAAAACCCTGATCCACAAGCAGGTGGGAACATGAAGCTACTGTAAGTCAAGGCCAGTTTATAAATAATATTGCTATCCATCTTCCTTAACTTTAAGGTTTGGGACTTTTTTGTACAAGATAAGTTTATGACTAAACAGCTTTATTTATCAGTTAAAGTTAGTTGTAATTTCTAAATAAACATTTAATGTACATATTTCTTCTGAATAGACTTTAATGTGTCTATTGTATGTTTCATCTAAAAAATGTAGTGGATTTATTTATATAAATTTTTGACTAAGAGATTTAAATTACTAATGAATATAAACATAAATGAAACATTTAAAAGAAAAGCATTGATCTGCATCAGTAGTTGGACAAATGTTATTTATTTATTGAAATGATAGATTACTCTGTTTCTTTATTCAGACTGGTTTCAGTTCACATGTAAGAAGAGAGTTTTCCTGATACATTTTGTCCATTCACTTTGAGCTGTATTTGTTATACTGAATTGATATAAATCAACAGTAAGCCTGCATTACTCTTACAAATGAAACTTTCTTCTATTTGTCAATATGTGTACATAGTTATATTGCTTTGTACCACTTAAACATAAGAAATATTTCATACAGTCTCTTTATGTGTATAAACGTTCAGAGACTCATGGAAAATTTCACCAAGAGCTTAATTGCATCATATATTTTCACATCAGTGCTGTTAGATATCTGCATTTTAAGTGAATGCCCTTCAGTTAATTGGATGTATTATACACACAAATTAATTATATTCATGCTTCCATATCCTGAATGACTGCATATTTCTAGATGAAGAAATGAGTGTTTAAGATTAACAATCCTCAAAAGCAACTAAAAATCGTTTTTAAATTACATCTCTGTTTTGAAAACTTTTTAAAAGTGAAAACTAGTATTTCTATACAACAGATGTCTCGTATGGTATCTAACTATTATTGCATTAAGTGAACTTAACCCCTTCCATGATTTGCTGAAGATAAGTGGCACCCACTATGTTTCAAAAATATTTGCCTGGGTTAATTAGGGCAAACCATTTCTCACTGTATTTTTAATTATTTGTTCAAATTTATGTTATAATGTATTACAAATAGTGCTCACTAGGTAGAATTGAAAATGCTGTTTTTGCTGTTCTCCGTCAGATCTACTGACACTGAGGCTTTTTTTCAAACATGAAAATAAAACAGGTCTGAACAAAAAAGAACACTGAACTGTCTCTCTGACTGAAACTGAGTGTGATTATTATCATATTTGAATTGCGATGATGAAATTAGTTTAAATTACTACTATTCACAATATTCTCTGTATTTAATTGATATTGGTACTTTTCTGAAATGTAGCATAGCACAGTTAAGGATGTTTCCAAATCATGTTTTTTTGAACTATTTGTAAATTCCTGTTTTTTTAAGTATTATTGTTTACTTAACTTTTTAAGTGGCTTGTGATAGCACATTAAGTAATTATGTTTTTAGTAATTTCTTCTGGATTCCATCTACCATGGGTTTCATTATTGATGTTAATATGTTGGTGATTTTGTTATAGTTATCTTGGTGTCTTGAAGAAGGCCAAAACAAATAATCCAAAACATTGTCTTTACTAATTACTTACTCCACGGTGAAGTTTACAAAAGGAAACAGCACTGTATAATTGATACTATTGAAAAGGTTACCTGAAAAGAAACATCTGTAACTAACATTTCTTTTATCAGAGTATTTCCTCAATTATTGCAAAATTCCCAAAAATTCAGGAATATACATATGCATTTCTTTCTGGTAAACCATCCATCATGCTGTAGATTATAATTATAGTCTATACAGTTCTTAATAAATAGTTTATCAACAGTTTTTATTGTTTGGTTAACTCAGTGTCAAAAATAATGTTAAAGATATACTTTGAAAATAATAACAGAGGTACAGCTGCATTTTCTGAATGTACTGGATGTTATTGGTACTCACATAATATAGATCCCTTTCGAGACGGGTCATGGGTGAAAGGCCATGTCAATAAGTTTGGTATCAAACTGTAGATTATAATTCAAATTTTAGTATATATATTACTCAATTTCTTAATTTAAAACCATATATTAAAAACCAGATAAACATCGATTTTTGTGTGTCACGTGATATGTTAAATGCAACATTGGTTCAAATTAGATGTTTGTGAAGTCAAAATACTAAGTCTGTAGTTTCGAACCAATTAGAAACTCAAATTATCGATATTGACAAGCTATAATATAAAATAAGAGCTTCTTATCTTTTCAATTTGCTAAGATATTGCTCATGTAATAAATCCAACACAGTGACACACCGCCCACCTTTTTCTATCTTTGAAATGCTCCCTTATATACACTTACTTCTATATATGACATGAATAACCAATCGGAAGCTCAGAATGTCCCCTTAGTGGCTTTCTCAGCCTTTTTAACGGACTTGGCGCCATTTCTTTCTTTTGAACAAAT